AAAATGGTTCAGATATGGCAAGATACGAAAGCCAGTTTTTATAGCTCTGAGTTCTGACTGCATTTCAGCAATTGACTCATTTGGGTCTTTTTTTTTTTTTTATCCTAAGGAATTTTATGAGAAACAAAATAACATCATGAACACTTCCATTGAGTCTTTTGTGCTGTGAAAGACTATCCTCTGAACAATAACATTTTCTTCTGGGATTTCATCTTCGCTTGGTTAACATGAAAGGCATCACCTTAATATGCTCATAATGATAATTCATATATCTAAAAATATATGTTTATTGGTAAATATCAGCAGTGGTTGTTATACCCATCTGAAGGCCAGCAATAATATAAAATAAAAAAAATATTATATTATGTAATTCCCTCAAAATTATTATAATATAATATAATATAATTAGTGGTGTCAAAATCCTTTCATATCAAAGCATGAAATAAACTACGTGCATGCAATTTCGTGGTCAGTTAAGTCATGAAGTTAAAACTGTGCATGCATGTAATATATTTTATATGATTCACATTTAAGAACATGTCTCTGAAATGGTTTTCAAAACTGTCCTGGAGCAGCCCAGCACTGTCTCACTAACACACCCGATTTAACTCGTCAGCTCATTAATAGAGACTTTAAGCTCTGAAGTGGTTCAGAAAAGGTAAAAAGGGTTGAGAGAAAATATGATGCGTGTCAGATCCAGCAGCGGCAGCTCTTAAAGAACCACCGAAACAACCGAATAACCAGCTGCTGTGATGTCTATTAATCAAAGGACAAAGAAAAAAAAAAAGAGGAAAAAATAACTTTTATAGCTTTAAGGATTCATCTATATTTGATTTAGAATTTCGTGTTTGATAGCTTCAATTTCTGTATATTTCTGCTGAAGGGCACAGGTAAACATGACATTTAATGGGTTTATGTGAAGATTGTTTTGAGTTAACTTAAATTAGATATTATTTTTTAAAGTCTAATAAATGTTACAATTAATAGCTCTCAATTATACTGTAAAGTTGAATGGCTGTAGTCAATGGTTAAATATTATGGAGGGGGGGGGGCAGTTTTTTAGAGAAATCAGTATTAAAATAAAAAAGATGCCATTAAACAGATATAAAAATATATATATTGTCTTTGTTGTTTGTACATTTATTTGACGATTGAATGTGAAATGATTGCAATATAAAAGTATATTTAAAAACTTTAATGTTAGGTGGTATTATTAATTTCAGAAAAATGTGTGATTAATTAGTTAATTTTTTTAATCGATTGACAGCACTAAATATAATATAATATAATTTTTTCCACTTTTGCTTATATTGTCAATGTGTCCTTTTTGCCGTATGGGGGCGACATTACTGCAGAAATCACACACTTTCACTCACCATCATCATCTACAGAAGTGTGTGTGTGTCTGTGTGTGTGTGTGTGTGTGTGAGAGAGAGAGTGTGTGTGAGAGAGAGTGTGAGTGAGTGAGTGTGTCCAAACACACACAGCCCAGGACCACACCGACCGGTCTGTCTCCTTAAGATGCTGGAATAACGGCGAGAAACGTACATCTTTCGATTGTTGATCGAGACCAGCTCACTTAGTCACCAAAATGTCTGGAAAAATAGACAGTAAGCAAGGTAAGCGTTTACCTTTGTTTACCTTTATTAATAATTTGCAGATGAACTTCAGTTAGCCGCGTTAGCATTAGCGTCAGACGAGGGTTCAAGGCCACTGACAGGATCAAAGCATCTTATCTTTATCTTATTTGTAATGGCCAAACGCGACATATAAACGCCTTAGATGATATATTCAGGTCTTTAAATTAATTTATAAGATAATCTGGTATTAATGTCTACATGAGTTTGTCTCAGACAGCTGTATTTGGGTGTGGACGGAGCTGCTTATAGCGCTGTTGTTGACTTTAGTTAGCTGTCCGACTCGTTTTTATCCAATTTCTCCTATTTGTTGTTTATTTTAAATATGTAGTTTGCGTTTTGTTGCACTGTTTATCTGTAGAGTTTGTGTTACAGTTGTTTTTGTGCTGCTAGCTGGTTCTTTCTGGTCGTGTTTGGTGTGTTTTAATGGTCTGTTGTCCACAAAATGTAACGTTACTATTCTGTGTATTTAAACGTTACTCATTAACGTTAATATTAATAGTCTGAACTGTTTATATGATACGTTTCGCATATATGTTGTATAAGTGCTCTTATAGTTTTAACGAGCTTGTGACACAAGTGACAACATGATATAGATAGTTTCTGCGTAATTAATACAGTCGAATTATATACGATACAAATATGTACAGCTGAGCTGGGTAGAGAGATGCTCCTGGTTATGAGATACTACTCCTGACCTGTTAACTTCAAGATTTTTACTCATGTTTTTGTGACTTTTGATGAAATAGGTTACACTGACAAGTAAAAACCAATGTCACTTCCTTTATCAGAAGTTTTAGGGAAGTTTGAGACATTTACTATAGGTTAACAGTTCACTCAGAGCTAGACAGACAGATAAACAAGCGATTTGGATTATATATATATATATATTTACATTTAGACATTTAGCAGACGCTTTTATCCAAAGCGACTTACAAATGAGGACAATGGAAGCAATCAAAATCAACAAAAGAGCAATGATATGCAAGTGCTATAACAAGTCTCAGCTTAATGCAGGACAGCATGTTTTTTTAATCATATAATAAATAAAAAGAAAACAGATAGAATAGAGCAAGCTAGTGTTAGAGGCCTTTTTTGCTTTTGTTAATCAGTAGTAGTCAGAATTATAATTGTATAATAAATAAAAAGAAAACAAATATATAGAATACAATACATATATTTATGTATATATATATATATATATATACACACACACACAGTATGTGCTGAAACATTTAAATGGATGCAAAATGCCATTGCATCATCTTATCATTAATAAATATATCTGTGGTTTATGCATTCTTTTTTTATGGGTTTGTTTTTTGTGAAAGGGGGATAATTGTATCTAAATTTTAAAGCTGTGATTTGAATAAAGCTGTTTGGACTCACCCATTCACTCCAGTGGATCTGTAGATGAGCAAGGGATGTAATGCTAAATTTCTCCAGATCTGTTCTGATGAAGAAACAAACTCAGCTACATTTTGGATGGCTTTTGAATGAGTCATTTTCTAATGACTCATTTCTCCTTTAATACGTTGATTCAGAAAGATTTGAATCACTTGATTCATGTCAGGGTAGTTTAGAGACAGTGGTGCAGAAATTGTTCAGTGCACATTTTATGTTTTACTCTCCTGCACTCAGTGACTGTATGTGTGACTTTTTATGAATAAAGCAAAATGTATTTTATCTAACCTGTGAGGTTGCCAGCATTGACACTTCCTTGCTCTGAGGAAATTTTGAATCACTTGTCGGTAACTTCTTGTCAGAAGTTCAGTTATTCATCTCTAAATGGCCCTGCGATGTAGATGCTGGTTTGCGTAGGAGGATGTTGTCCAGTGTCTTCTAGTTTCAGACATATCTCTTGAACCGCCCTTGTTTTAGCTGGTAGAGATGTCTGCATTATTTTAGTAACAAAAGAATCAGAATTTGGAAAGGGAAGTTTTTTTGCTCTTTTTAAGTTTATCAGGTCATGCTGACGATATTTTTGTCTTCATTTTTCTTTACGTTGCCATTTTTATGATATAGAGCTGTTGTGAAATGCAGTGTTGCACAAATCTGTTTGATTGAGAATGATTGCTTTGTAGGATAAATCACAAAATGACAGTTGAAATCAATGCAAAATGCATTACAAATTCTTGTCTAAAAACAAGTTTTCATTTACCAGACAACTTTACTTTAATGAAGCTTCTTGCGTTGATGTTTTAAACCCAGACTCTGGGGGTTGGGGGTTGGGGGGGGGGTCAGTACAGATGTTGTGGTTGACTAGTTTGTTTCAGAAGAGGATATGCAAAAAAAAAAAAGAGGATATGAATTAGTGACACTTTCCACTGAGTGAGGATCTAGAAGCGGATGGAAAGATCACGTCCTCTGAAAGCACAAGCACACTTTATTGGTTTGCCATGTTTTTATTAGCAGAGCAGCGCGTTTTCTTAGACAGTGGTTCAGGAAGTTGGCTCTCATGGGAAATTTAACCTGTTTAGATTAGCAGTCACATCAGTGACTCTGAGATAAGACAGATATGACTTCCATCATCCTGGGTAATTCCAGTCCTGCGCAATTTAAATTTAAATGCATTAACTTTCAGTAACCGCTGAATTTGCTGTTGAGGTCAGATTACCAATAACAAATTTAAACGTTAATTGACAATCTTTTCGTTCCATGAAAATGGTCCTAAAATATTAATGACAACTCACCCAATTGCAGATTTTTGATTGTGCAAATCATAATGTCCTTCCTGCTGAAACCAGCTGCTTCTGACTAGCTAGTAATTAGTATGTTTATCATGTTTCATAATGTACATTATGTTATCATAATGTACATTATCATGTTTATGCATAAGATATAAACTAAAACCCATACACCTTAATTAGGTTAGACACCTTATTGAATTTAACGTGGATGAAAGCGTGGCTCTGAGGGATAGACTTACCGTTTTTACAATGGCACACACTGTATAAAGGTCCAAGATCATGTCATTTTCACAACTCAGAACTTTCAAAACTGTTTTATGGAGTTTTTGTATACTGAGGTTTTTATTTTTCGTCAGCTAAACAGTCGGTATGTTCTTAAACGGCACAATCCATTAAACGCGCTGTACTTCTATCCCTCACAGCCTAATTTTTGTGAAAAAAGTAATTTTGGCGCTACTCTGACTAAGGTCTCTTGGCTATTTATTAAAAGTGCCAAACTGATCCTGACCCAACTTCCTGTTTTCAATAGGAAATATATCAATACACAAAGAAAAGCTTACATATTTGATATGTGTTTTTCTTTTTTGTGTCTCCTAAATACTTAATCTACGCAAACCCAGCTTTCAAAGCTAGTATCCACATGAGTCGAACATCCTGACAAAACTCCATTAAGCTCCCTTGTCGGAGTCTTTCCGGCTTTGATAAGAAGGATCTGTATCATATGATTTTAAAGTTTACAGAGCACTCTCGCAAACCCCGAGCTCTTCATTCCTTTAATGTGTGTGAGGATAAATTGCCCCTAAATGGTTTTGTGGCCTGCGCAATAGTGTCATCACCAGAATTCATTCCAGAGCAGCACGCTCCAAGAGAGCGGTAAGTCCCACTGTGACCAATTCAGTTTGTAGTCGAAGAGGATTTCACTGTGTACACAAAGGCCTGTGTCTCATCTCGCATATATTCCCAAGATACAGAATAAGGTTGATGTCTCATAGAGCAGTGAACTGGAAAGCTGCTGCTTAAATTACTGCAAGATGACATGAATACTTTGGATAAGTGTAGTTATGGTTAGCTAATAATAAAATTAATAAAAGTAGGGATGCACGATATATCGGCCACCATATCGGTATCGGCCGATAAATGCTAATTTTTTCTGTTATCGGTATCGACCTGATAAGAAAATTTGGCCGATATCTTAAAGCGATAAATAATGCATTATTTCCTTCAGAGACACTTCAGATGCGCGCTGTTCGTTTGCAGCCTTTTGTGCAATTGTACGTTGTAATATTGTGTTTATTTGATGTATATCTGATTTATCTCATATAGAATGCGTTTGGTTAAGATAAAAGAGCGCTTCAGTTTACCGGTGATCGTCTTTAGCTCAGCGCACGCAGCTCAAACAGCAGTGCACAACATTAATAACTATGATTGGGAATGTTGTGTATATAACATTCTAATGAGAACATTATTATAATAAAACGTTGTGCATTCTTTGGGTTTAGTTGCTGTGTTTCAGCGCGTTGATATGGGAAGAGCGCATCCACAACAGGATCACACATTCTGACTATAGCACGCAATAACTGCATCATTTTGTACATATATAAGTTGTAATACTATGTTTGTTGTATTAATATTAATCTCAGGATGCATTTCCTTGAATTAAATAAGCTGCCAGCAAAACGCTTCAGTTTACCATGTTCATTCAGCTCTTCAGCTTCAGCACGCGCAGCTCAACGGCTGCTATTTAAAACAGTGGTATTAATTTGTTACTTTTTCAAAATCATTAATACATTATTAATAATAACAACCACTTGTATTTTTCTATTATTATTTTCATCAGCAATATGGTTTAGTAATTAAAATCATTTAATTATTGTCCGTGCAGAGGCTATTCCGTTTTATTGATCTATGGCGCATTCATTTTGATTCTTTACACGTGTAATGATGTCCAGTGGTAAAGCTGTTTTTGAGCTTCTTGAAAGAATTAGTGTTTCTTTTTCAGCTAAAAAAAAAAAAAACATGTTTTCTGCATTAACTATATAAATATTTTATTTCCCTGTCCATCTGTCACCAGTTCGAGAGTGTCCTCCTGTCTCAGTCGACTCTATCAAAGTCTTGCAAACCTCATTCGCTGGTCGGACCAAGTGATGCTGGAGGGGGTGAATTTGGAAGATAAAGAAACAGTTGCAACCGTCACCACTGTGATCAAAGCAGTGCTGGATGGTGTGAAGGTATTAATGTTCAAGTAGAACTCTGTTATGACTTGTCTTCTGTCTGACATCTGTTCTCTACCCATATTCCAGCTGTATTTAGCCATGGGTTTTGTTCTTAGTTGATAGTTTTGTGTGTAAAGCCGACTTTGCCTGTGGTTTCCTGTAGGAGCTGGTCAAAGTCGCCATTGAGAAGCAGGAGCACCCCTCCCCTACAACACCTGTCAAAACCCTGCTTCCTGCTGCCAGTCCACAGCGGTAAATGGAAGCCTTTTTTGAAAAACATTATGCCTTGAGAAATTCTTTAAAATTGAGGTGGATGATGTTGAAATCCAACTTGGGCTGTTGACCTGTAATATGATGTTATGTGTTGTTATGTGTTGTTATTATTACAGAGAGCCCCCTGTCATTGAGTCGAAGGAAACGGTCTTGGATGATACCCCTACCCCAGCCGAGGCCACAGAGACCCCAAATGATGTTCCTGATGAGGAAGTGGCCCCTCCTAAACCCCCTCTACCTGGACTCAAAGTGCCTGAACATTGGTATGAAAACATTTAGTCTAATTTTAAGCTTTATGGCCTTTATATATAAAATAAAAATATCAAATAAATATTATATACACATAGTGTTTTAATTAGAGCCCGACTGATATGGGCTTTTTGGGCGATATTAGGGAGTAAAAAAGGCAGAAATCGATATATCGGACGATATTCTTTGTGTATATTATAGTACAGTACCAGTCAAAAGTTTGGACACTTTCCCATTCGTGTGTCCAAACATTTGACTAGTACTATACAGTATATAGAATACAGTATATACATAAACAGAATATATATATATATATATATATATATACATAAACACATTTTTTGCAATGATCACTCAAATGTGGTGATCAAACACTTATAAGGAGGCAGGGCATTTAACAATTTAACAATAAACTTTATTATCCAAAATGAGTCTGACATCAGTGCACTAAACAGTAAAGTTTAAGTTTATTCAAATGTAATTCAATTCAATTCCATTCAACTTTATTCCTTTCCCTTGGAACTGGAATCGTGGCGGAATGTCATGTGAAGTCCACTTCGCAGGGCACTTACGGTCGAATAAGTCAACGCTTGAATGCTGCTGCCTGAACAAGAGACCACCTTACTGAGGTGAAAGTGTGGACTGGTGTCACTATCTCGCGAATGCTCCGGCGGATCTCTACCAAATTCGGGGGATCCCTTCAGCTCGAGAAGCCTTCTCGAACGCCACCCTCCGCGCGTCGGTAGCCCCCCGGGATTGCTTGATCGGTCGGCGCCGGACCGCAAATTTAACCACCCATAACTCTCGAACCCCGGGGGCTATCGACGCGGGGGTGGTCTCATTCGAAAGCAGGCCTCTAGACGTACACTCGATTCGTGTTCGAGAGGGTTCCTCGAGCTGAACGGATCCCCTGAATTTGGTGCGGATTCGCCGCGCCATAACGGCGATATAGCCGTTCAAATTTCAATGGTTTTCCATAGCTTCAGCTTTAAAGCGTTTCATCCAGGTCGCCAGTAGCAAACAATGCTGGACAAACTAAATACATTTCATCTGCATTATATGTTCTGTAAAAAAAAAATCATATCGGCGGCATATTCACCGATACCGATATATCGGCGACAGGCTCATATCGGCTGATAATATCGGCAAAACGATATATCGGTCTGTATATAGCCATGGGTTTTGTTCTTAGTTGATAGTTTTGTGTGTAAAGCCGACTTTGCCTGTGGTTTCCTGTAGGAGCTGGTCAAAGTTGCCATTGAGAAGCAGGAGCACCCCTCCCCTACAACACCTGTCAAAACCCTGCTTCCTGCTGCCAGTCCACAGCGGTAAATGGAAGCCTTTTTTGAAAAACATTATGCCTTGAGAAATTCTTTAAAATTGAGGTGGATGATGTTGAAATCCAACTTGGGCTGTTGACCTGTAATATGATGTTATGTGTTGTTATGTGTTGTTATTATTACAGAGAGCCCCCTGTCATTGAGTCGAAGGAAACGGTCTTGGATGATACCCCTACCCCAGCCGAGGCCACAGAGACCCCAAATGATGTTCCTGATGAGGAAGTGGCCCCTCCTAAACCCCCTCTACCTGGACTCAAAGTGCCTGAACATTGGTATGAAAACATTTAGTCTAATTTTAAGCTTTATGGCCTTTATATATAAAATAAAAATATCAAATAAATATTATATACACATAGTGTTTTAATTAGAGCCCGACTGATATGGGCTTTTTGGGCGATATTAGGGAGTAAAAATGCTTCCTGCTGCCAGTCCACAGCGGTAAATGGAAGCCTTTTTTGAAAAACATTATGCCTTGAGAAATTCTTTAAAATTGAGGTGGATGATGTTGAAATCCAACTTTAAATTTAGCTGGGCTGTTGACCTGTAATATGATGTTATGTGTTGTTATGTGTTGTTATTATTACAGAGAGCCCCCTGTCATTGAGTCGAAGGAAACGGTCTTGGATGATACCCCTACCCCAGCCGAGGCCACAGAGACCCCAAATGATGTTCCTGATGAGGAAGTGGCCCCTCCTAAACCCCCTCTACCTGGACTCAAAGTGCCTGAACATTGGTATGAAAACATTTAGTCTAATTTTAAGCTTTATGGCCTTTATATATAAAATAAAAATATCAAATAAATATTATATACACATAGTGTTTTAATTAGAGCCCGACTGATATGGGCTTTTTGGGGCCGATAGCGATATTAGGGAGTAAAAAAGGCAGAAATCGATATATCGGACGATATTCTTTGTGTATATTATAGTACAGTACCAGTCAAAAGTTTGGACACTTTCCCATTCGTGTGTCCAAACATTTGACTAGTACTATACAGTATATAGAATACAGTATATACATAAACAGAATATATATATATATATATATATATATACATAAACACATTTTTTGCAATGATCACTCAAATGTGGTGATCAAACACTTATAAGGAGGCAGGGCATTTAACAATTTAACAATAAACTTTATTATCCAAAATGAGTCTGACATCAGTGCACTAAACAGTAAAGTTTAAGTTTATTCAAATGTAATTCAATTCAATTCCATTCAACTTTATTCCTTTCCCTTGGAACTGGAATCGTGGCGGAATGTCATGTGAAGTCCACTTCGCAGGGCACTTACGGTCGAATAAGTCAACGCTTGAATGCTGCTGCCTGAACAAGAGACCACCTTACTGAGGTGAAAGTGTGGACTGGTGTCACTATCTCGCGAATGCTCCGGCGGATCTCTACCAAATTCGGGGGATCCCTTCAGCTCGAGAAGCCTTCTCGAACGCCACCCTCCGCGCGTCGGTAGCCCCCCGGGATTGCTTGATCGGTCGGCGCCGGACCGAGAATTTAACCACCCGTAATAATCCCGAACCCCGGGACTATCGACGCGGGGGTGGTCTCATTAGAAAGCGGGCCTCTAGACGTACACTCGATTCGCATTCGAGAGGGTTCCTGGAGCTGAAGGGATCCCCCGAATTTGGTGCGGATTCGCCACGCCGTTACGGAGATATGGCCGTTCAAAGTTTCAATGGTTTTCCATAGACTAAGCTTTAAAGTGTTTCATCCAGGTCACCAGTAGCAAACAATGGAGCGCGCTCTGCTGGACAAACTACGTAATTACACCATTCCAAGCATTTTATCCGCGTTATATGTTCTGTAATTCATCTGCATTATATGTTCTGTAAAAAAAAAATCATATCGGCGGCATATTCACCGATACCGATATATCGGCGACAGGCTCATATCGGCTGATAATATCGGCAAAACGATATATCGGTCGGGCTCTAGTTTTAATGTTATTAAATATTCAATATACGTATTTTCAAATATATACGTATATATATATTATATATTTAAATCTATTTATTTTTTAATTTATAAATAATATTTGATTATTATTTAAATAATGTTTAATGTTTTTTTTTTAGTTTTTCTGTTTAATTTAATTTTTATTTAAAATGTATCGCTAGAATAGTACAAAATCACACATCAGGGTTTTAAACTGCTTTAAGATATATCCTAAATTTTGGGGTTAAAAATGGCAAACCCTATAGAAAAAAGAAAAGGAAAAAAAACAACAGAAATGTCAGAACCTGTTGGGTACTGTGTTCATGGAAATTGCTGTTTATTTAGTGTTGCAAGCTTTATGCAGTGAAACAAGTGAATGTGATTGTAGGTGGTACTGCATTGTAGGCGAGCAGTTTATGAGAGGAAATATGAAGTATGCTGTGTTATCTTATCATGCTATCTTATCTGGATTACATGCAGTAAACATTTAGAGATCACAGGTGTGATGTGGTGTGCAACAGCATGTTGTGTATGTTTTAAGTACTGGGCTTGGCTACAGATGATTGCACAGACCCATCTCGGTTTGCGGGAAGCCTAAAAGAAAAGGTGTGAAAGAGAGATATAAATAGTGGTATTCTTGAGAATTCAGGTCTTTGTAGGGTGCAGCAGCGAAGGCTCGGCTTCCTCTAGCAGAGAATCATTGACATATGGGCTGTTTTCTGAGAAATTAACTTGAAGTTATAGACTGAAGGAG